ACCGTTTCCCGAGGAACTGCCAAATCATGTCGTGCACCAGCACACACGCGCAATAATGGATTTCCTCGCGCCTCGCGAACACCTTGCTTCAAAGGAGGGTGTAGTTGGACCTTGCTGCCCGGCGGCCCACCCACCAGATCGTTATTTCTGATGTGAGCGTCTGGTGTAACTTCCTGCTTTAATGTAGAAGGCGAGATCAGCCTTGGGGTTTCGCAATCCACCATACCGCGCAGGGTGTTTTGCTTTGGCGAGCCGAACATGCTTGCAACTAGCTCTCCATGCAAACTCTCCGATTGGCCCGGTGTTTTTTCTTGACACTGTCAGTCTCGTTTGAGTAAGGGGGAAAAGACAGCCTTTATCCGCCTTTGCCGGGGTGATCCATGCTGTGCCCGTGTGCGTTCGAGCGTGGTCTCACGCGGAACACTGTCTTGGTTCCACTGTTTTTTGTCGCGCGAGCACCCTTCGCCCCCTTTCGCTGCGTCTGCCATACGTGTGACGGATGGAGCTTGTCGTTGCGTGTGCCAGTGTTTGGGTTGTTTGTTTCCCAGGAACATGTGCCCAGGTGAGGTATTGTTTTGGGGGTCGCAAGCGACTTAATGTCCGTCGACATACCGTGCCCAATGTGCAATGGCCACACCGGACCGACTGCAGCAAGTTGATGTGACTTCAGCCGACGCGGTTTCGAGGATGGACACGTCCGCCAAAGGATGCAGTTAGCTTCCATGAACAGTTTACCCAGGTGTGACTTCATGCGCAATCACGTAGCATAACCCGATCCCTCACAGTCACGCTCAGTCTGCATGCGTGTGTATTCCGAAGTTTGCCAGCCTAGGTTCCAGCACCCGAGCCCGTCACCGAGGCAAAGCCGCAGGAGACAATGGCGGAAGCACCAAAGGCAGAACCAGTTGCAGAGGCCCCCCCGGCTCCAGCCCAGGAAGCAAAACCGGAGGAGCCGGCTGCTGAGGCCCCTAAAGCGGAGCCGGCCACAGGGGGGAGTACCGAAACAGCCGTAGAGGCACCGAAGACTGAGCAGGCAGTTGCCGAGGCACCAAAGGTTGAGGAGGCAGCCGCAGAGGCGCCCAAGACAGAGGAGCCAGCTGCCGAGGCACCAAAGGTCGAGGAGCCAGCTGCCGAGGCACCAAAGGCTGCGGAGCCAGCCGCAGAGGCGCCCAAGACAGAGGCACCAAAGGCGGAGGAGGCAGCCGCAGAGGCGCCGAACACCGAGGCACCAAAGGCTGAGGAGGCAGCCGCAGAGGCGCCCAAGACTGAGCAGCCAGCTGCCGAGGCACCACGGGTCGAGGAGGCAGCCGCAGAGGCGCCGAACACCGAGGCACCAAAGGCTGAGGAGCAGCCAGCGGCCGA